TCAAGAGTTCATGCTACAGCTCTGAGGAAGAAGACAAGCCCCGCAGGACTGGCCAGTTTGTAGGCAGCACTAGCAGACAGCTCTTTCAATTCCTTTACAAATTAAAGGCTGCCCCTTTTCTCCTCAGTGGACAGACACAGCAGCTATTGCTGCCAAGCACACGCTGTTCCTAGAGGCCCCTCTCTCTTGTTTCACTTGAAGTTGTTGCTTTTCCAAGTTAATGCGGCACATGACCTGTCACCTGGACAGCCCTTACGGCTAAGCAGAAACCTAAGGAGAGCCATCAGATTTATGTTCTATGTACTGACAGCTGCTGTGTAGAAGAAAAAGAGAGCAAATGATGGCACTTAACATATCTTTCCAATTCAAGGGGTTAAGAAAAGAATCTGATCTCAGTGGCTCAGGTGTAGAATAGCACCTCTAAGGCTGATTTAAATTGGTTCTGACCAGTGTTATATAATGTGGTGCTTAAAGCTTAGAGAGCAGCTAGTTTCCCATTGGCATTGGGACCCCCGTCTTTTGTAAAAATTAGTGTGTGACCATGCCTCTCAGTGCCTCATCCCTTCCCCAGTACTGCAGCATCCAAGTGACTATCATTATTATGTATTATGGCCAGAATTCTCAGAAAACTTGTGGTTATTGAGTGCTTGATAGTTGGGCCTGGAGTGCTTTTGAAAATCGAATTCTACTTGCCAGCTGTTGGCTGTCCAATAGACAAGATACAATTAAAGGCACAACTTCTGCAAGGGTTTTAAAATATGAAAATCAGAACTTAACTTAATATATTGAGTCCAGGCATGGTGGCTTGACTCCATCAGCCAGGAATGAGACCTGGCTAAGATGGAATGACTTTATTTAAAAGGGATATTGTCAAATTAAAAATTAGACTTGTCTGAAAAAGTTGGTTCTTCTCCTGCTATAAATAATGCCTAAGGTGACAATCACTGCAAGATAAAAAGAAGGCAAAAATCTATTTTCATGTAGATACTTTGCACAAACACTTTATCCCTTTGATAGAACTTTGTGTGCAGTCAGTTTCTCACACGGTCAATTTCCTTTGGTGTTTGTGTGGGTTACTGACACATCAATGTCTGAAGGAAAATGCATTAAAAAGAAAGAACATGTGATGTAAACCACAGACACAGATGACAAAACTTGTGCAGGCACAGAACCTGAAAATATTTTCACCTCTTCCAGTTAAAATGGCCTAAATTTCAAGATGATGATGTCCCTTGATGGCATTCTGTGCTTCTATGGTAAATGATGCATCACATTTTTAATTTTTGCTGGCCTAAAAGTTTAATGCAGGGATGTGGTAGTGCAGTATCTTTAGCATCCCTCTCAGCTACTCCCTGGAACAGAAGGTTTTTCTGTTTATAGCAGTAGACAAAGGGTACTTTTTAAAAAAGATTGTCCCATGTTTTTTAATATTTTACTCGAATGCATAGAAAACAGCCTTTTTGCATGCTTGTGTAGCTGTGTTCACATATGCTTTTTGACAGAAGAAAAGCACTTCTACATGCTGTGTATACTGAGTATTGTGTCCTACTTTAGCAACAGGGAGCAGAGCCTATGCCACCACAGGGCCACAATTCTGACAGGAATTGTGATGAGAAGGGTGTGAGGTTTTGGAATGAGGGATGTTGACGTGGAGATCAACCATCTGTACTCCATAGCGAGTTATAATCAATTTTCATGATCTTTTTATGTCATAGGCTACCGATAGATGCAACTTTTAATTGCTGTAAAACATGAGTGCTTTGTGGGCATCGGCTGTTACAATTTACCTGTTATATCTGCCTGCTTCTGTAACCATGCAAGTGAGCTAAATGTAACTTTAGCCTTGAAGAGGGTAAACGTTACAAGGGCATTGCTGCACAGACATTGCTATAGGAGTTATAGATGCAACAGTTAACATTGTAATAACTTGGAGAGTATCATTTGATGCTGATGATATGGTAACCTCTATAATGCCTGCTCCCAAATTTGCATGGTACTTTCTCATTAGGCCTTGTCTACACAGAGGTTCTATACTAGTGTAACATGTTGGGAGGAGTGTGACATTGCGGGGTGCACACGCGCATGCGTGCACACACACACACACAAATACAGGGGTATCCCTATTGTAGCCATGGCTATACTAATGGAAGTTATAGCCACATTAACACCTTCATAGAGCCATAGCTGCCTCCAAACTAGGAAAGGTTATACCTCTTTACCTCTGCTGGTCTAGTTTAAAGCAATATGAATTCTGTGACCAGACAAGGCTCTATCTTCTACTTTCTTTTCACACAAGCAAGCCATTTAAATTAGGGACAG